CTGTGGATGACGCAGTTAACATGGCCCTCCACTTCACCCTACAGCATCTGGACTCCACAGCATCCTACGCCAGGATCCTGTTTGTGGACTTTAGCTCGCCTTTTAACACCATCATTCCTAGCCTGCTTCAGGACAAGCTCTCCCTGCTGAACGTGCCAGACTCCACCTGCAGATGGATCACAGACTTCCTGTCTGACAGGAAGCAGTGTGTCAAACTGGGATCACAAGTTTCTGCCGCCAGGTCAATCAGCACCGGATCTCCTCAGGGCTGCGTCCTTTCCCCTCTGCTATTCACCCTGTACACCAACAGCTGCACCTCCAGTCACCAGTCTGTCAAACTCTTGAAGTTTGCGGACGACACCACCCTCATTGGGCTAATCTCTGATGGGGATGAGTCTGACTATAGGAGGGAAGCTGACAACCTGGTGACCTGGTGTAGCCAGAACAACCTGGAGCTTAATGCTCTTAAGACCGTGGAGATGGTTGTGGACTTCAGGAAGAATACAGCCCCACTCACCCCCATCACCCTGTGCGACTCCCCAGTCACCAATGTTGAGTCCTTCCGCTTCCTGGGCACTATTCTTTCCCAGGACCTCAAGTGGGAACTGAACATCAGCTCCCTTATCAAGAGAGCTCAACAGAGAATGTACTTCCTACGGCAGCTGAAGAAATTTAATCTGCCAAAGACAATGATGGTGTGCTTCTTATACAGCTATCATTCAGTCCATCCTCACCTCCTCCATCACCGTCTGGTACGCTGCTGCAACTGCCAAGGACAAGAGCAGACTGCAGCGTATCATCCGCACTGCTGAGAAGGTGATTGGCTGTAATCTACCAACCCTTGAGGACCTGCACACTTTGAGGACCCTGAAGCGAGCGAGGAAGATTGCGGACGATTCCTCGCACCCTGGATACTCTCTGTTCCAGCTACTCCCCTCCGGCAGAAGGCTGCGGTCCATCAAGACCAAAACCTCACGTCATAAAAACAGTTTTTTCCCATCTGCTGTTGGCCTCCTCAACAAGGCCAAGGGCTTAAAATGACTTTTACACTTCAAATGACTGTTACACTTACTATAACATTTTATCTACATAATTACACCTTTCCATACTTACAACGTGTAATCTTATTTGTATTTTTGTATTTTAAGATTGTTTAATACGGCTAATTAACATTTTACATTCGCATTTTATAAGGTCTACTTATTCATAATTTTAAAGATTTTAGCCCTTTGGTATTACTTATACTTTGTAACGTTAGTATAGTTAGAGTGTATAACTTTTATATAACACTATGGGGACCTCATTTGCCAGTAAAAATATGATAATTGGTTCTTTACCCTTCTATCTGGCAACAAAACTGACACCTTTTTGCAAGGAGTCATGTTTGCATAGACCGCAATACCTGCAGTCATAAATACAAACAAAAGACATAACTCTGATAATGTGCACTGTCCTTGAAGTTGATTGGTCCACACCCGAGACAGCTTTCCTTCGAGCCTAGTCTCATATGGGTTGGACCAGATGACGCCAAAAGGCGCACTGTCTCGGGTGTGGACCAATCAACTTCAAGGACAGTGCACATTATCAGAGTTATGTCTTTTGTTTGTATTTATGACTGCAGGTATTGCGGTCTATGCAAACATGACTCCTTGCAAAAAGGTGTCAGTTTTGTTGCCAGATAGAAGGGTAAAGAACCAATTATCAACTTTTATATAAGTTAAGATTCCTACTTGTTCAATGTATGCACCGTCCCGCCATAGTGAATTCCTTGTTTGTGCAAACTTACATGGCGATTAAAACCGTTTCTTCTTCTTCTTCTTTCTTCTTCTTCTTCTTAAAGATTCCAGCCGTCCTTAGTCAGGTCGCTGCTGTTTGGGCAGCTTTAGACGCCAGCGTCCCAAAACGAAGCAGCGGTGCTGGCGTGCCGTTTGTAACCTGCTCTGTCTTGCCCCAGTGAATCCCTTGCGTGCTTGTGTTGGAAGGGCATGCTCGTATTCCAAATGTCGCGTATTACCAACTCACTCGGATGGTGCACGATCTCTAGAAGCTAAGCAGGGTGAAGCCTGGATAGTGGCTGGGGCTACGCGGATGGTAAAACTAAACTAGAGCTATTTTTTTTTATTTTACCAGGTAAGGTCCACTGAGCTATATGGATTTTTTAAAGAAGCGACCTGGCCAACAATGCTAGCCCAACGAAGTGGCTTATCATATGGAATATTATAGCAGCCAAATAAACGAATGTTTATAAATATATATGGAGGAAACACCCGAGGACCCGAAGAAAAATCCACACGACCACGGGGAGAACATTTAAACGAAATAAATATACAGGCGTCAGGGTCTGGATCGAACCCGCACCTCCTGTAAACCAGGCGAGGTAGTGAACATCTCCTAGCCACCGATGGTCGTCAGCACAGAGGAGTGCAGCAAAATCCACGAATACTTTGAGGTCTCAAGATGCCTGGTCGACATTTATAGAGAATCCTTGAAAATTTCATAAACCTTTGACTCAATTGTATCGTATATGACTAAGTGACGAATGTTGTAAAAACGTGAAGTCTAGTGTCGTCCCATCTATTTTGCTTCGGGTAAATCTAAATTCGTAATTCAGTTAACTAATTACTGTGCACAGGAGCCAACATGCAAATTATCTGTAAGAGCACGGGGAATTTCGTCCTTCAGACATTCGGTTACGATGAATTATGCCACTCACTCGGTGGTTTGTGGAGAAATCTTAAATTTAATTTCCTACCGCCCACCATATGCCCAGCAGGGCTGGGCATGTGGGGGGGGGGGGGGTGTAAAGAACTGAAGGCCACGAAAAGTCGCCACCTACTGTTTGACCAAATTGCTGGAATGTACTCATACGGCAGTTCACCTCTCCACATGAAAGGTATTTAAAAACTAAATTAATTTTCGATGTAATGTTTTGCACACGAGTGATTAATTGCGCACTCTACTTGCCCGCTGTTTGATTGTGCGGGTTAAATCAATTTCAACCGTTACATGTCTTACTCTTTGGGTATTTCGGTAAAGTCACGTAGATAGAAAAAATAATAGATCACGACGTTTCGATCGCAAACATAGGCCATTGTCTTCAGGTGAGAGAGAGAAAGCTACTGAAACAAGGTCTTGTATAGGTCTGAGATGGGAGTCCCATCAGGGTGAGAGGGCGGGGCTAGGGATGGTCTCCCTGGTGCTGTGGAAGTGGCCATTGTATTGTGAGAGATTAGCATGTCAATGATGCTTCAGGGGCAGATCGAGTCGGACATCCAGCCTGCCAATACAAAGACATCAAACCCAGTAATGCAATTCAGAGAGTCAGCTAACATCGGCAGGAGGATGGAAACATCACAGCAGATTAAGACTTTACCTGGTTAATCACGTCCTTCCAATGATTGCTCAATTTGTACCAATCTTCTCGGTTGAAGTTGTGCCTGTGTTTATATATCTGGATGGCTTCATGGACAAATCATTGATGATAGTCAGTGGGTTTGCATAGTACTTTCGTCTTGGAAAAATCAATTTCATGTGAGCCCACAGCATTAAAACAATGATCAGCCACGGCCGAGGTATTGGTCCTATCGTTACATGTCTTATTATACGAATGACAAACTTTATTTGCTCATTATCACTGCTGGCAGAAGGGCCCCCACCAGAGTTATAGAGGGTGTTTTGGCCTACTCTTCCATAGTGGCCAGACGTCCTGGAAGAGGTGGGAGTACGCACACTTTACTCCATCACACACGACTTGCCGATCTGTGGTTTGTGTATATTTATCATTGCTGAAAGGACAGAGGTGGGTGGAGAGAGGGATTTAAGAAAGCTGCCCCATTGTTTCAGTTGCCAGGCCGGGAGAACGAATCAAACCACCGACCTCTGAATCGCAAGCCCAGTTGTGCGACCATCATGCCACCACTGTGGCTGCAATACACCTCTTGCAGAATCTCAGAAACCTGGGTAAGGCTCCTTGGCCAACATTGAAGGAAATGTTAACTACCTCGCCTTGAATGCAGGAGGTCGTGGATACGATCTCGACCCTGGCGCCTGTATGTGTGAGGTTTTTCATGTTCTCTCTCTCCCCGTGGTCGCGTGGATTTTTCTCTGGGTCCTAGGGTTTTTTCCTCCACATTTAGAATCAAAATGCGTTGAGAGTATTTAGCAGTTATACATTTCCACACGATAAGCCACTTCGTTGAGCTACCATGTGGAGCAAGGTCACTTCTGAAAAGGAGCTAAGAGCTGAGTGGACCTTACCTGGTTAAAGAAAACCAAGTTTAGTTTAGCACTTCTGTGGAGGGTAAAGTCGAACAGAAATCCAACCGCATACAGTGACAGAGAGGGAGTGGTGCGGTGTGAGGGGCGAGCCCCCCTTATAAAACCTTAAACTGGGAAGTAAAATCTCGGCGTAAAGCTTTCGCGACTGCAGGAATTCACATTGTTTGGGTCTTTGGGTAAAGTGACGTAGATCGGTTAAATAACGCAGCACGTCAAAACCACACTCAGACATATAATTAGTGACGTTTCGGGCAATGCACCTTCTTTCTCCTCCTGCAGTCTAAATCAAGATTCTGATTCCAATTCTCAGGGAACCAAACTCCAATGTCCGAGGCCTGCTGCAGCCACGTGGAGAGAGGGCTTGCTGCTACAGCAGAGCCAGTTCGCGTCGGTGGGCTGCTGTTCCTCCTCCTCCTCGTGTTGAAGGAAGGGTCCTGGTGGTGGTGGTGGAGGGGGAGGAGGAGGCCCTTGCCGAGTGCAACACTGCCAGCAGCAGCAGCAGCACAAGGCGAGACGTGCAGAGGAAGTGGCCTCGCTTGTGCGCGCTGGGAAATGTGATCCCCCGACTCCCGCTCGCTCGCCCAGGAAGCGGAGCGGCCCAACTTGTGCGCGGGACCAAATGTGAAGGGCCGGGCGGTGGTGGTGGGGCGAGGTGACGACACCGTCACGTGACCCCCCCCCCCTCAACACCCCCACCACCCCCACCACCGCATTCCTTGAGAGAAAACAGCCAAGAAGAAAGAGTTGTCTCAAGACGAGTTGTCTCAAGACGAGTTGTCTCAAGAAGAGTTGCCGCCACACTTCGCTCGCCTCCACCGAGAGAAGCAGCAGCGGGAGTGATCAGCTTCGCTGCCACACGCAGCGAGACGAGAGACGAGACACAGAGACACAGAGACAGCGAGACAGCGAGAGAGAGACATCTGCTAAGTCTGGTGAGGTGCATCTTCTCAAACACTCACGGCCGATCGTCGTGTACGTTGAATTTATTTCGCACCGTACGTAGCCAAACGTCATAATCGGAAGTGTTCGGGGTGGGGTGGACAACAAACTAAACACAAAAAGCAGTCCTAAAGCAACGAGTTTGTCAATCTAGATTTAAAAGTGCATGGCTCCCAGTGGACCCCTAATATCGGAAGCGAGAGCGTTCCAGACGGCCGCTGAAGCGCTTCTGAAAGCGGCAGTGGCCGCCTGTGATGATGACATTGGCGGGGAAAGTGATTCAGTCTTTGCGTGAACAACAGAGTTCATCATAATAATAATTAAATATACTCGACAGGTTAGTAAATAACACTGTGTGGCCCTTAACAGGAATATGTAACAGGCGACGTTTCGGGCAGTGGTCCTTATTCATAGCATGTAGAGATGCCATCGAGATTGGATAGTAATACTACAGCCACAAGGTGAACCTGCTAAGTTTATATTACTGTACTTTACAGCGAGTAAACCGCATGCACACAGATGAAATGTTTCCCCTGCGATGTTCACGTCTTCGAGGTTTCCACATTGGAGTCGCTGAAGTTGTGTTTGTGAGTTTATTTCAGAGGGACGGGCCGCAAAGTTGCCTTTAATAAATGTGTAAGTGTTGTGTAAAATCAACTTCTGTCAAAGCGGGTGTTAATAGCTACTATTCGGTAAACTATTCATATGCCCATTTAAAAAGTCGTCAAAGACGAATCATTAGATAGAATACGCGGTGTAAAGTGCAGTCCCAAACTTTTATTATCTACTAGGTGATTTGAAGAAGGGTCATTGCCCGAAACGTCGCCTACTATATATACAGTCCGCCGCAGTGCCATTGACAAAGGTTTGTGTTTGTGAATTGTGTACCGTTGGCGATGCAGTAGCAGCAGCATCACCGCCACCACCACCTATCTAATGTACTCGATTGTCAAAGGACATTAATGAACTCGACTGTGATAGAGAATAAAAAAGACGTTTCAATCAAACCGATAGTAACATATGAAATGTGAATTGGAAGCCATATAGTATTCACAAATAGGTGATAGGTATCAACCTTGAACTATTATTACATATCTATCCTGTGGCAGGGTGGAGCATAACGAGTGTCTATCATGAAAATGCATCTTTTAATCTTCGGAGCAGAAAAATAAGAATACATTTCTGATAAATGAATTTTCAGCATTTCATATCGAGTTCAAATCTCCTTGGTTGTTTATGTGATGTCGTGACACGGATTTAAGAAGCCAGGTCACGTGACGTGGTTATTCTGACGTCAACGTTGCCAGAGAATGCTCGACTCCGTTTCAAGTGAAACGTCGTCGCCTGTGCAATTGGTTGTAAGAATCTTCTTGGTTCTTTCGGTAAAGTCACGTAGAAGGAAAGTAATAAAATAATAAAAATACAACATAATAAAATAATATAATAACATAATAAAATAATATGGTTGTAAGAATTGTTCTTCAGCTTACCGCTGAGCTGAAACAATTATAGTGGCAGTGCTAAACGTTAGCAAATCTGACAATTTCATTTGTTGGGTGGTGGAGGGTCTTACAGCATATGTTTCTATGTATGTTGAACCTCTTTCGCATCGTACGTACCCAACCGTGCTAATCAGATATGACGAGATCATTACATGGCCTCATCCATAAAATATGTGATGAATCGTAAACTATATATTTCGGTTTGTATTCAGCTATTTATTAAGGGCTTTGCCATGTGTTTTTTCACAGTGTGCAACAGTTTCACTTTGCCTTAACATTTCTATAACTTGGTGGCACTTGTGTTGTTCAAAATATGCAGTTTTCTAATATTCATGCATAGTCCATGTAAAATTTTACATCCCATTTTTTAAGTCCTCAAAGATCATCCATAACTGTTAATGTTATTCTAGTTCTGGCAGGTATCTGTCATTTTAATATTTGATTTGTCTATGGTATGATTGATTCGTTATACACAACGACAAAAAACAATCTTATTCTCAAGATTCTTAGATACTTCGCATGTAACGGATGGATTTGACACACTGTTCAACCGCACACACACAGATTTTAACACGAATAAGTCTCTTATATAAAAAAAAAATCAGAGCACCAGTCATCAAATAGGCAACTGACACTGTGCAAAGAATACATGATACTATTATACAGATGGAAAAAAAACCTAATCAATGGCTTAATTCATAATTTAGGTTCATAAGGCATCGCCCAGTGCACAATATGATGTGTATGAGAAGGCAAACAACGCAACAAAGGCAATCAGCTTTCAGTCTGTATCAAACGGGTCTGTCACGCTTGGTTGAGAAGGTGACACGGCAGGCATGTAGGAATCTTCTGTGCTGGTGAATGTACAGCCGTCACGCACACGGTGTGCCTCGAACGGCGCAGACAGCAGCGTTCACGCCACCCGGTCATCGTGAACGCCACCCGGTCATCGTGAACGCCACCCGGTCATCGTGAACGCCACCCGGTCATCGTGAACGCCACCCGGTCATCGTGAACGCCACCCGGTCATCGTGAACGCCACCCGGTCATCGTGAACGCCACCCGGTCATCGTGAACGCCACCCGGTCATCGTGAACGCCACCCGGTCATCGTGAACGCCACCCGGTCATCGTGAACGCCACCCGGTCATCGTGAACGCCACCCGGTCATCGTGAACGCCACCCGGTCATCGTGAACGCCACCCGGTCATCGTGAACGCCACCCGGTCATCGTGAACGCCAGGGCAGCCGCCGGCTCCAAGGGACCCTCTGGGCGTTCGCTGCGCTCCGTGCCTCGGCCATCCCATTCTCCTCTGCTCCTCCTCCTCTCACGTAGCCCACCAATAGACTCATTGTATGAACAGACCAGTGTATTAGTATTATTCGTTTATTTATTATCGGATTGATGCCCTCTCTTCTGAGACAATGGAGACCTTACAACGTTAACCAGACCTCCACAGCTTGGCCAAAAATCCATGCTCACTTTTTCGGAGGTAAGGGTAGTTCATTCATGTTTGGTCTCGAGTTCCAGACCTCGTAAACTTAATTGGGCCTCCACAGCTTTGCCCATCTAATGAAGTGCTCTGGAGTAGGGGTCTCTCCGGCACATGATAACCCAACCTCCAGACCTTACTACAGGGTTTTCATTGCTACATTGCACGTCTGATTAGCACGGTTGGCTACATGAAGTAGAAAGGAAGTCCAACATGCATGCATAGCTCTCAAGTGAAGCTATACTCCTGTCTGTGCTACCAACTTTTCTTAAAAAAGAACATATATACTGCATTTACTCAAATAAATACAATTCACCTCACATTCACCTCATCATTGTGATTCGTATGAAGAGACATTATATGATTGAGACAATTAGGATTAATTCCTTCTTAGCGCTAAATGTTTTTATAACCATCCACGTCATTACTGAAGTATTTTCCTGGATTGAGCAGCTGGGTGGTGGTGGTGGCGACGCTGCTGCTGCTGCTGCTGCACGTGGCCTGGCACCCAGCGCTGTAGGGACAGCAGCGAGGGTTGGTGGATCACACACAGATGGAGTGAAACTCCCCTCCCGTGGGCGTCAAGGAGATGCCATGCCCTGGCTTACCAGGAGAAGGCGGTACAGCAAGTGGACTAATCGCCATCTGTTTCTATCTGTACGGGGGATGGAGTGTTGCTTTGTCACGTGAGTGGATTTTCTCTGGGTGCTCCGGTTTCCTCCCCACGTACAAGTACATTTTATTATTATATCATATAACGGTTTGGGTGGGCCCTGGAAAGTACGATGTTAAGCTCACACTGGAAAAATAATTGCTATTATAAAGAAATATATACAAATTATTAAACAATCGAGCATAATTCTGCACACAGATGAATCTTGCTGTTCTAAAATCAATAGAGACATTGGCAGGAAACTAAATTGATCTATTTTCAACATCAGCTTAAAAAAGTGATGAGTGCTAATTTTATAATTGGGGTTAGTAAACCATAAGTCACCACGCTGGTCAGTGTGTTTTGGTGACGGGGAGGACCGGCTTACACATTACTCGCCATTGCTGTTAGACATTGCCAGGAATCCAGTGTGATCACCACTACACCACTGTGCCATGCTATGCTCTACAAGGATATATGTATTTTTTTATCGACGTTGCCAACCACAAGGGAAAAGGGCCAAAACACCCAGTGGCCAGCAATAAACAGTACCATTGAAGGTGTAATAGACAAGAGTTCATTCTATTCTTAAATTGAGCGAGGATGTAAGAACATGGAGACAAAGACAGAAGGAAGGATATTACAAAGTGGAGCAGTGCCAAGAAAGAAGCAGAAAGAGAAGTGTTTCGACCTGGAGCTTGTTGGTCGAACACCGTATGTACAACAAAGTAATCTTACAAAACAAAACTTGATTCCAAGAAATGCAAACTAAGCATAAAGTGTGATTCACAACTGCGGCCGAGTCAATAAGAGTTGCATAACGGACCGAACAGAGACCAAGAAAAACACACACAGAGAAAAACACCAACAGAGCCCAGCGCTGCACACTGTGCGCGCTGCCATATGTTGAAGATCACGGGATGCGTTACGCCACGCGTCACTTGCCCCGTCCGTCCGTGCGCGCAGACCATGCAGAGGACAGGCTGGAGCCGCGTGGCTGTTCTGTTGGCATGCATTGTGGCGCTGGTGGGCGCGTTGGCTGTGTCTCGCCCCGACCCTGCCCTGGATGGGCACTGGGAGGCATGGACGGCCTACTTCAAGAAGGCTTACACACAAGTGAGAACACGCACAGAGACAAAGACAGCGAGACTAAGATCAGTGGCTCTGTACACTGAATACGGTAATAGCCCGGTTTACGTCGGGGATGCATTCCTGAAAGAGGCGATGACGAATATCGAAATGAATTCAAAACAATTGTACGTAAAACTGTTACGTTGACTCTTGGCCACAAATACATTCATGTCACTTAAACACACACTTGTGAGGCATGGTGCTTAAGGATTACGTACCCACAACGTTACGTTAAAATACTAAAAATACTGTACTCAACATGAGTTTACAACAGTAAACTTTAACACACATTATTCAGGGTACAATAAGATACGGTACACTATAAAAATCACCAAAATACTGTACACAAACAATATATTGTACTCTACGGTAGAGTACATTTTTCTATGTGCGACGCAAAGTACTTCATGTATAGGGTTAGGTGGAGGGGAAGGCTGAGAAGCGGCGGATACGAGAAAGGATGGACGATGCTGTCAGCGACGTAAGTGTGGGGTTTTTGAAACGCAAACCAGGCAGCTGTGTTAACAAACTGGCAACGTATTTGCGAAATGACGTAAAAAAAATACTGTATATATAAGCAGACAATACGCCTCCACGTATTTGGCCCGACACATCAAAAATTTAAGTTTTCCCTACACATCTCATCAGCCACACAGTCTCTTTGGAGTGCATAAATTCAGCAGCATTGGTTCAACACAAGCAGACCTGAGCAGTTTTCACATTCACCGTCTCATCAGCTTGCTTGCTGGTGACCTGCCAGATGTCTAAAGGCAAGACTCTATCTCTGATAGATATGGGTCCTAGTTGGATGCAAAACTATATATCACTCACCACTGATGTTAGCCATTGCCTGGAATCGAACTCTGGCTGCCAGGTTCATAGTACGGCACGCAAACCATCGCGCCACTGCTCACCTCAGTATTTAAATCTTATTAATGTATGACTGTAAAATGAACAACAATAACGTTTTAAGCAATATACTCACATTTAGGACTACCTATAAAGATTTTATGGAGCTCAACTCTCTTTGCTAAAGGATTTTAATGGAAAGTAAATCGTGGTGTGGCACAATTTACAAGATGAAAGCTGAAAATATATGAGAACCATCGCTTGCACGAGTCACCGTATTAGCCCCGATAAATATTTCAGTTACATTCTTTATCTCCCGAGTGGCCAATGGGAGCATCTTCGCCTTCGACTCCGACGAGGCGATATGTCAAGAATGCGGTGCCGTTTTATTTTTTACGCACGACAGATTAAACATTGCGGAGGAAATCACAATGACTGAAACACAAATATATATTTATTTTCCGCGATTCCCTTTACACCTACACGCAGTGGGAATTGAATGAGAATGTCATCTGTCAAGCAGTTGTTTATTTTTCGCACACCGTCTTAAAGCACGGAGGCTTTGCTTTATAGCAGCAAGTAATGCAGATACTGCCCATGTGTTTTCCCTTTTATAATAATTGTTGCCGTTGATAGAGCCACCCTCCTTCCACGCCGGGGCGTCTCGGGAGCGCTTTCGACGCGATATAAGCGGCTTTTATTACAGCTCATCCCAACATCCCAACACAGTTTAAAGGGCACCCCCAGTGGCAGCTGTCCCGGTGCGGCGCAGCAACAACGACGTGAATCGTCACCTGGCCTGCAAGCAGGCATTGGTCGGCCAGTAGCGGGGGGCGAGTTTGCCATGTGCAGTGCTGCCAAGTGAGTCATCTGCAGGTCACTGTTTTGAATTTGGATAATTTAGACCATGACGCCGGCACACGATGGGCCCTACTTACTCGCTTCTCACAATGTCAGGGGATGGAAGCAGTCGGCACGTATAACTACGGTTAATGCAATCGCACTCATAACCGGCGTGGCCTACTGGATTGGCTGCTATAAATGTCCGCATGAGAAGCTACTCTATAGCTCAGTGGGCCTTGCCTGCTAAAATAAGAATAGTAGTATGAGTAGAACTATAAACGTCTGCAACAAGCGGTGAACGTGCTACTACCGGGCCATCTCACCGATGAGTAGACTTTCCTCTGCCATGTAAATGTGGAACTTCCACAACTGGCTGAGGGCTATAATAGTAGGTTTTTACCCTTTTAACTGGTACAAAACTGACACCTTTATTCAAGGCATCATGTTTGCAATGACCACAACACAAGTAGACTACTTGTGTTGTGGTCATTGCAAACATGATGCCTTGAATAACCACAACACAAGTAGACTACTTGTGTTGTGGTCATTGCAAACATGATGCCTTGAATAAAGGTGTCAGTTTTGTACCAGTTAAAAGGGTAAAAACCTACTATTATATTTTGCCACTGGTAAAAGAGATCTCATAGTGTAAATGCTTACCCCGAGCTCTCAATACTCTGATATTGCACTGTGTTTGAGTTGTACGCCTTCTGGTGTCATCTGGCCCTACACCAATGGGGACTAGGCTCTAAAGAAAGCCGTCTCGGGTGTGGGCCAATCAACTTCAAGGACAGTGCATATTATCATCCTTATCAGAGTTGCTTCTTTTTGTTTGCTTTTTTGACTACTTGTGTTGTGGTCATTGCAAACATGATGCCTTGAATAAAGGTGTCAGTTTTGTACCAGTTAAAAGGGTAAAAACCTACTATTATATTTTGCCACTGGTAAAAGAGATCTCATAGTGTAAATGCTTACCCCGAGCTCTCAATACTCTGATATTGCACTGTGTTTGAGTTGTACGCCTTCTGGTGTCATCTGGCCCTACACCAATGGGGACTAGGCTCTAAAGAAAGCCGTCTCGGGTGTGGGCCAATCAACTTCAAGGACAGTGCATATTATCATCCTTATCAGAGTTGCTTCTTTTTGTTTGCTTTTTTGACTATTGTGTTGTGGTCATTGCAAACATGATGCCTTGAATAAAGGTGTCAGTTTTGTACCAGTTAAAAGGGTAAAAACCTACTATTATATTTTGCCACTGGTATAAGAGATCTCATAGTGTAAATGCTTACCCCGAGCTCTCAATACTCTGATATTGCACTGTGTTTGAGTTGTACGCCTTCTGGTGTCATCTGGCCCTACACCAATGGGGACTAGGCTCTAAAGAAAGCCGTCTCGGGTGTGGGCCAATCAACTTCAAGGACAGTGCATATTATCATCCTTATCAGAGTTGCTTCTTTTTGTTTGCTTTTTTGACTACTTGTGTTGTGGTCATTGCAAACATGATGCCTTGAATAAAGGTGTCAGTTTTGTACCAGTTAAAAGGGTAAAAACCTACTATTATATTTTGCCACTGGTAAAAGAGATCTCATAGTGTAAATGCTTACCCCGAGCTCTCAATACTCTGATATTGCACTGTGTTTGAGTTGTACGCCTTCTGGTGTCATCTGGCCCTACACCAATGGGGACTAGGCTCTAAAGAAAGCCGTCTCGGGTGTGGGCCAATCAACTTCAAGGACAGTGCATATTATCATCCTTATCAGAGTTGCTTCTTTTTGTTTGCTTTTTTGACTATTGTGTTGTGGTCATTGCAAACATGATGCCTTGAATAAAGGTGTCAGTTTTGTACCAGTTAAAAGGGTAAAAACCTACTATTATATTTTGCCACTGGTAAAAGAGATCTCATAGTGGCTGAGGGCTGTAAACAGGAAATGACCACTCCCTCAAAGCCCATTTGAGCAGGAACTGACTTTGAGCTGATTCTGCTGTGTAGCAATTTTTCTTTCTAAAAAGCTGCTTGGCACAGTAGTTGGAGTGCTTGCTTCACAACGGGAGGTTGTGAATCCAAATTATGGTTGGGGTTTCACTCGGCCCATCAGTCAGGATTGATAAAATGAGTTACAACTTTGTTAAAAGCTGCAGTGGTTGTGCTATTGATCAACGATAATACAGCAATTATAAGTCCAATTATTTCCCCAGGAACAGCAGTATTTGTTTTCTTGCAGGAGATAACCAGAGAACCCAGAAAACATCTGCACGCAATTAATGAGATCAACACTCATAGCTCCACACAGATGGATTCAAGAATCCATTGATGCACTCTCAGCTGGTGTACTCAGACAGTGTCTCTCTTAAGGACTCAACGCTGCTTACCTTCTGAGATCTGACAAGTTAAGGCAAATTCCGAGTGATGTTGATTAACAAGCCGGCCCCCTCCATAAGAATGTGGAATTTCCACCACTGGTTGAAGGCTGTAAGCAGGAGATGAAACGCCGTTGGTTTTTGGCAGAAAACGAAATGTGACTTTTTTACTATTTTTCCATGTCGTTATATATTTGTCACGGCATAAACAACGTGTGTGTCTTTGTGACCTTTTCCAGACAGATGGCATCAAACGGCGGCTCATATGGGAGGAAAACATGCGATTTGTCGACAGACACAACTTGGAGCATTCGATGGGCCTGCACTCGTACACCCTGGGCATGAACCACCTTGCGGACCTGGTATGGAATCGCGTGCTGCGTCGGTGTTTGCCGTTGCGTTGCCGTTGCGTTGCCTGCATGTGGCTCTCCACCGACGGGCTTGTTTTTGGTCGAACCGCGTGCTGTTCGGCGCGACGTCCGACGTTTGCGCTACACGTGCCAGGAGCTTCTTCAGGAACTGAACTGTGGAGGGGGACAAGGTGAGCGGCCCGGCCAACACCAGCAGTGGCCAAAAGGAAGTGACGTGTAATCGGGAGAGAAAGTGACCTACTCGATTTGGTTCCTGGAGAAGCCGCCAGCAAGTGGAGCGAACCGTCGGACATCATGCCGAACCGTACATGGCACAACGCGAAAACACATCGCAAAGGTTGCATTATGAAATTGCGAAACTGCAGAGGGCAGATTTGGCGCTTTGGTGCTGAGAATCTCGGTGTGAAAAAATAATGAAAAAGTCAAGGTTTAACAATCGTGCTGAAATATTGCGTTACGTGGTATTACTTTTGTAAGTTTTATCATAGCTCTGGGAAAGGAAAAAAAAACAACTCACTGTAGAGATGACAACAGTGAGCCATGTGAACAAAGAGAACGAAATCATTTAGACAATCGTGGTTCTTCATAGCTTTGTAGATCTCTGCGGGTTTCGAATGAAGAGTACAAATCAATCGTGCAGCCCGTGCTCCGAACACTCTTAACTGGCAGCAGAGGAGTTATACCAAAGGAAGCACTCAGATGCAACAGAATACACTTTTCTAATCTTTCAAAGTAAAAGGTTTATTTCTGGAAAAAAATCTACAGTGAACAATTAGCACCTCTTATTTGGAGGGTGTTTCTAATGTGCTAGTGTGTGTTGATTACATTGCTGTGCTGTTGCGTAATGACTACAATGCTGTGATATTGTGTAATGATCGCAATGCTGTGATATTGCGTAATGATTACAATGCTGTGATATTGCATAATGATTACAATGCTGTGATATTGCATAATGATTACAATGGTGTGTTCAGACCGTGGATGAATTTCGCAAGACGATGAACGGCTACAGGAGAGGCTCAAGAGAACGCCATGAAGGCCACCACACATCCACCTTCCTGGCTCCAGAGAATTACGAAGTTCCCCAAAGTATGGACTGGCGGGACCAAGGACTGGTCACACCTATCAAGAACCAGGTTTGTGCAACCCTCTGTCTTGTGTTGATCACGAACTATGCATTCAGACTCCGCCTTTATTATTCATGATATACTATTTGGAGCATTACCGTGGCGAGATGTTAAGTACACCGCCTGGTATGCATTAGGTTGTGGGTTATATCCCGACCCTGACGCTTGTATATATGAAATTTGCACGTCTCTCTCCCCATGGTCGTGTGGATTTTCCTCCGGGTCCTCCCGTTTTTTCCCTCCGCATTTAGAATCAACATGCATTTAGAGTATTTGGCTGCTATAAATGTCCCCGTGATAAGCCATTTTGTTGACCTATCATTTGTGGCCAGGTCACTTCTAAAATAGAGCTCCATTCCTCAGTGGGCTTTATCTGGTAAAATATAAATTGTTTCGTTTATTTCTGCTGGTAAGGCTCATTGAGCTCAGCCGCTCTTCCAGAAGAACAACCACAGGCTTTGTCGTTGTCCTCCTCTTCCATGCTGGCCAAACATTTTGAAAGAGGTGGAAGTACCCAGACTTTACCACACCACACGCCACCTGCCGGTCAACCGTCGGGTGGAGAGAGGCGGTGGAGGGGTCAACTAAAGAAACTTGTACCATTGTTTAACTGCCGTGCCATGGACTGAACCGGCAACCCTTCGATTCCAAGTCCGGTGCGATGCTCACCATTACTCCACGGCAACATCCCTCGTAGGCGGTGCACAAGCATGATCCATGACGACAGCGGTTCGTGCTCTCCTTACTTTCATTACAAACGGCAGCCAACTCCGGCTCACTGATTGGCTCCGACAGATTTCGTCGATCATTGGCTGGGTCAAATTTCCCCGTCTCTTAACACCCCCCCCCCACCGACCTTCACGATCCCCACTCCCTTATTATGTTTCCAAGTGTTGGCTGAGCCCATGTGCAATCCAATTAAACTGTACAAAGCCCTTCGATTGCATGTAGCGACAGCGCCATCAGCGGCATGTACCTTGGAACTTGAAGATAATTATCTGCCTGTTGTGCGACCTGGCACGTTCTTGTCTGTGCAGAGAGGCGCTCTCAGTTGTTGACTCTGGGAAGTGGAGAAGCAATGTTCACAGATGGCACCATCGCCGTACCCCCCCCCACGCCCCTCCCCCCCGACACTTGCCTATCAAGTTCAAAAGCCGGTTTAATGATGTTGTGTGCTGCTGTGTAGCAGGAACATCATTATATTTGGAGCTCCCATCCTTCACAAGGAGCCAATTGTTTGCACAGTACCACAGCTGAATGCCAGAGAAATAACAAAGCTACTGAGAATAAGCAGACCATTTGTCTACTGGTACCAGGAAAATGAAAGCACATGCACAAAACTGGCCCAAAATACCTCAAACGTGTGGCCTCAATCTAGAGTTCAAGTTCCAGAAACTACTGAAACACGTAAAAAATAATCAATGTATAAGCAGATATGGTAGTTGCCTGTAGCTATGTCTTGTTAACTAACAAAATGTTTTAATTTCATTCTGATCGTGGGTTAACTCAGCTTGTCAGCCGCTATGGTGGACAATAAACGCTAAAGTTACCTGCTGGTGATTACTTGAATTATCACAATTTGCGGTCATCCGATTCAAGAATTCGTTCTGGTTTTTAGCTTTGTCTCTTTTTTCCCATCTCGTTTGCTTTTATGTCTCCCTTGTACAGCCTCGTTCGCTCCGTGAGCTTCAATGTAGCGTCGACATCTTTGGCACAGAATTTGGACAAATTATAAATAATTGACTCTCGCTCACACAATTCGAGGCACGTTTCACGAGCGTACGAGTCGACGAATCGATGCATCATTACTCGCCCGGTCAATAACATAAACAGCAGTTTGCAGGAAGTTAACCGTGGCCATCATGCATACAAACTGGCCCCTGTCATGAGAATGTGGAATTTCCGTTACTGGCTCAGGGTTGTCAGTAGAGATAGTCACGAGCCCCCCACCCACCCCCACATTGCTCATTTGAGCTGCATTGGCCAACGTGGTGAAGTATGGTCAAATATCCCTCGTGGGTGTAGGGATGCCTCCATCCTGCGCATGCACTAGTTTATGCGTATATGGTACCACCGTGCAGCCTCATGAGACGGCCTTGTAATGAGACGCTGTACATCACTGTGGCACACACAGAGCGAAAGAGAGATAACACTGTTTAGTACAAAGTATTTGGTGATGCTGCGTTGGCAATGGGTGTGCTAGCACAAAGCACTTTCTTAATTCACCATTCATGTGCTATGAAGAATGTGTTGCGTTTTTTTTGTTAACTGCATTGTGCAGCGATACATATATATGTTTCACTTCTTTCGCACCGTACGTAGCCCAAAAGGGCGAATCCGAGGTGTGGGGGAAGGACAACAACCTAAGCACAAACTTTTGTGCAGCTTTCCGCTGTGTTTGCTGTTTGCACAGCTTGTTCTTTGGGACGAGGTCCATGGTGTGCGTGTGCCGCCACTCCGTGTATTGTTAACAAACAAAATCCAACACATTCGTTGTCGGTAACACTGTGGCCTTAATATGATAAATAAATATAACAGGTTATGCTTCGTGCAATGGCCCGTCTTCATAGCACATTCACTAAAGAATTAATTTCTATGTTATATTGTTTTAATTTATGTTAAGGCCGCAATGTTATTGACGAATGTGTCAAGTTTCTGTCTTTGTTGTTAATTGTGCTTGCACCCCGCTGCGAACGCAGAAACGGCAGCATCACCAGACAATAATATAAAGATTGATCGGCAATAACCGCGTACGTTTAACACATACAGCAGTCGTGTTAATGCACTGCTGGATAAGCGCCTCCCCACGCCTGCACGGCGGTCGCCGCCAATCCTGAGCGCCGAACCGGACGGAAGCGATCGTTGTTCATCGGCGTATTGCTCGCGCGTGCGTCCGCGCAGGGCCAGTGCGGCTCCTGCTGGGCCTTCAGTTCGACGGGCGCGCTAGAGGGGCAGTGGAAGCGCCGCTCAGGCGAGCTGGTGCCGCTCAGCGAGCAAAACCTGCTGGACTGCTCGCGCCCCGAGGGCACGGAGGGCTGCGGCGGCGGCTGGATGGACGACGCTTTCCAGTACGTCCTCGATCAGGGTGGCATCGACTCGGAGAGCGACTACCCCTACACGGCCACGGTACGACCACGTTCAGCCTTGCTGGCAGGTAGAGGTGCGGCCCTGCAATTGCGTGCTCGCATCGCTGCCAGCAGAAGGTCCTCGATGGATTGGCTGCATCCCAAGACTGCGGCAGATGGCAATGGCTTGGGGAGGCCTTCATCCGGCAGTAGATTGGTTGTGGACGACGATGATGATCATAATGACAGTGATAATGACGATGATGACGACGACGATGATGATGATCACGACAAGACAATGATGATGACGACGAACAAGGGCGGACAACTGTCTAAAAAAAACGCGTGAACATGCCCTCTTAACCCTTTCCCATTTCGATGACATACATGTACATAAGTGTATGTCATCGGAACAAAATCGGAAGAAAAACATAACTTCATCGATATCGAGTCTCCCGCAAGGCCATGCTGGAGGGCGTGTGGCACAGTTTGGCGGCAGCATTCATAGAGTGCAGTCGTGTCGCTACACTTCTCTGCAGTGAGTACATTGTCTTTAAAAGCAGCAGCACTACGCCTCTCTAAATAACATTTACGCTGAACCGCCTGCGCGTTCCGAGGTTCAGCGGTGAATGGGACACCCACCCTGCAACTTGCAGACGTCTCGGAACAGGAAAGGGTCAATGCCTGTTACATTTTGCCCACTTTTTTCAATAATAATAAAAGGTTTTTGGGTGAGATCGCGCTATTATAAATGAATCGCAACCCTCCACCACCCAACACGGCCAATCAGTAATAAATGTGTCACGTTACAAAACGCCTATTAGTTACTTCTTCAGCCCACCGGTGTGTTTGAAGAGTGAATCCACAACATTTAGAATTTGAGTAGTACAACGTTTCACAGGTAATTACATCCCGCATCTTCGGGCGATTTGCTAGAATAGTTCAAACACACCGGTGGGCTGAAGAAGTGACTAATTGGCGTTGTGTAACGTGACACACTTATTACTGATTGGCCGTGTCCGGCGGTGGAGGGTTGCGACACATCTATAATAAAGCGATCTCACCCAAAAACCTTAATTATGAATAATACTGGTCGCGAAAGCCTACGTGTTTCACATTTTTTTAAGTCGCTCCGCACCCGTTCCGGACAGGATGTCGATTCGTGCCACTACGACCCCTCGAGGATGGTGGCGCAAATGTCCGGCTTCGTGGACGTCCGCAAGGGCAGCGAGAAGGACCTGATCACGGCCGTGGCCTCGGTGGGACCCGTGTCGGTCGCAATCGACGCAGGCCACCAGTCCTTCCAGCTGTACGAGTCAGGTAACCCAGCGCCCTGCAACGCGGCCGGGTGGTCCAAGCATCGGGGCGCTGAGCCGGGACTGCCCAGGTTCGTGGCTTGGAAGCCGAGTTGGAGCCATCCGTGATCTGACTAGAGTCTCAAGCGTGGGGATGTGGTGGGATATAGCGATGCACATCACCAGTCTTTTAAGCTCTAGCGGTCAGGTGACCGCTGACCGACATTGGCAAGATTCGTGGGCATTGGAGGTGGCCAAGCGCTGAGTCGGCGACATTGAGAAGTGAAGTTTTGAAACCGGCTTGGATTGCCCGAAGTTCAACCGGAGTATCAGGTGTAGTGGCGATGCTGATTCGCCCAGGCCTGGAAACGGCGCTATATAAATCCTAAATAGAATAGAATAGCCCTGTCGCCGATGACTGCACCAAGAAAACATTTCACGTTGGATTTGGTTCTGCACCTCATTAGGCTAAATCCCAGCTCTGAAAATGTGAATATCCGTGAGACTGTCACGTGACGAACACATTACTCTCTTATGGCAGAGCAGCAGGTCGGACAGTGCAGCACCCTTCTGTCTTGAACAGCTGTCAATTTGAGAAGATATCAGAAGTAGTTTGGTAACTGCATACAAAAATAAATGTACATTACATTTGGATTTTGACTTCATTTGGATGAAACGTTTCTCTCTGCAGCAGGGCATTTGGGACAGCATGTCTCCTCGGGAGTGGATATTTTTTACGAACGTGACAGGACCTCAGCAGAAGTTCTGCAACATCTGCTTCTGTGGGTCATGTTCCAGCTCTGAACGGATAGTTATTGTCATCACAAGATGCTGATAACACGATTGTACTAGAATTGAGAAAAGGGACAAACATTTGAGTTTGAATAATAATTTCAACATATAACGAGCACAGTACTTGCTCGCCCTCGAAGAGAGAGAATAATTCAGAGGCAGGAGGAATCACAGACATGCAGGAAGGCAGCCACACGATGAGCTGGTGCCAACAATTGCCCAAGCTCCGTGGTTCTCTATATATTAAGGTGTTATCAGCAAAGTAATGAGCCTTTACATGCAGGAGGAAACTGGAGCACCCAGAGAAAACCCATGCATGCAAGGGGGAAACACTCTATCCCATGCAGATTAAGTAGGTGGAGGTCACATTTTTGCTCTACTGCATCCTCCTGGGTACCAGCTCCTCAACGGCCATGGGAAGGCAGTTTCACAATGTTTGTGCGATCCACAAACCCTCACGGCTGCCTCCACAGTGCTGATTACAGGCACGTGCCACCACCGCCCAGACAAAGTGTGGCATGCCACCCTGGTTATGACCGCGGTATGTATTAACCATAAAATACTACGCGCTGACTGCTTCGCAGTGGACATTTAAAGATCCCGACGTGTTGTTGAAAATGGGGGTAGGGCATTGTGTTCCGGCGTCAGGATACAATTTCACACAGCAACGACCGCTGTGAAGCACCAGCGCCTTCGTGACAGCATCGCGCTATAATAATGGCGCGAATACCAAATCGGTACGTTAACAATGAATAAAGATCCGCGGGAAAAAAAACACGCTGGGGGATCAGCAATGCATCCGGCAGAGGTAGAAGTTTTTGATCTGTTTCGGAAATATATTTATTTTTTTGAGTGCAAACAACTTTAACAACATGCTCAATTTTGCATGGTCATATGAACGCGATGTCATTCATTCCGAGAACCGTTCCAACTTGCACACGTGAGCGCGACCTTGAGACGCCTTGAAATATTGATGCGCCTCGCCACGGCAACGGGTGCAGGTGAAATAGTCGGCGTTGAGTGGAGCGCAATGTGCGGTGAAATGTTTTTGTCGCGCAGGCATTTACTACGAGCCGGAGTGTAACAGCACCGAGCTGGACCACGCGGTGCTGGTGGTGGGCTTCGGGCTGAAGGGTCGCGGAGAAAATGGGAAAAAGTTCTGGATCGTCAAGAACAGGCGAGGCTTACATTGTGGTGGAGGACGTGTGTGCAACGGTCGCCAAATAACTTGCAGTTTCTAGTCTGCCGTGAATTAGATGAAGTATGTTTAAGAGATGATTTGGAATTGGTAAGATTATACAACTGTAACCAGCTCGCACTTAGAGGTGAGGCCCACGTAATGGTGGTGGCTCAGAGGTGAGGGCGCTCTGCTGGCACTGCTCAGTTGCTGGGTTGGCACCGGTACAGCTGCCTGTGGTTGCACTGGCTTCTCACGTGGGATGATGATGATGATGTACCTGATTTTGCTAAAATTCCAGCTCTGAGAAATCAAAAACGTAATATTGGTTAGACTTTCGTGCGACAAACATAGAGCCTTGTTATTGAGAATGTATATCTCCTTGCCTGACTCCTCTTATGATTTGTCATTTATGCAATCCCAGTGCAGCCACGTTATCTTCATAAGTGCATGAGCCGACGAGCTGAAAATGAGACTTGAATGCTAATGGGTGGCAAGATCATAGGAAGTATTTTCTGCGACCTTGCCATACGTTTAACCAAGCCCTCTCCTACATCTCGCCAAGGAGCTCATTAACGCAACATCATCTTCATCAACTATGAATGACACCATGCCTCCCATGCGGTACATCTCGAGGTTGCAGTAGACAAGCTGAGGGCACTCCCCGTGGCAGCTGTCCCTGTGTGGCGCAGGGCAAATGCAGCAATGGCCCGCAAACCTACCACTAGGGGGCGATGTTGCTTTTGTGGCTTTTACCAAATAATGAATGTGACTCTCCCCACCCACCCCCACCGCCCTCCCTCCCTTGTGTGATTCGCTCAGCTGGAGCACCAGCTGGGGAGATGAAGGTTACATCCTAATGGCTCGTGACCGAAAAAACAACTGTGGAATTGCGTCGGCTGCCAGCTACCCACTGGTTTAGCTTAGCGGCGAGCGCCCGCGGCCCTGGCACAACACCTCAAAGCTTTCTCGTAAAAAAATAATTGTTCGATATATTCCCGTGTTTACGTCTCCTGTTCATCAACCTTTGTTCAGGCCCGAAACATTCCCTCCAAGACAAACTGTCCCTTGGCCACAGCTAACAAGTGTCCTGGTCGACTTTTTTGTCACGACTGTGACCCACAGCTACGCGAGTAAATACAACAAAAACATTCCGCAACTTGTTCAATGAAAATCCTGCCAGTTTAGGAGATATCTGCAGAAGTTGTTCAAATTAAAACAAAAACTCGACACGTTCGTGAATGACGCTGTGGCCTTCAAAATAAAAAGTAAATAATTCGCACCATTGCAGGCAATGGCCCTTCACAGCAACTAGCGAGGCCAGAGAAATCAGAGTGCGTGGAGAGAGGCTTCCCTGGCCTCCCTGTGCTCTGACGAAGGGCCACTTGGCCAGAAGGGGCAGTTGGCCAACACGTCACTTTGTCTTTTAAGTCCACAGTGTTACGGATGAACGTGTCGAGATGTTTTGTTAATTGCACTTGTGCGGCAATTTCAGCGTAATACAACCAAAGTGATAATGCAGGAATGTTATATTCATCACGTCCCTGGGTGGGGAGAGAGGGGGGTGAAGACCTGAGTGCGATGGGTGACCGCCACCAACATCAGTGGCGAGTGATATCCGAAACAGTCCCTAACCCTTTCACCAAGTTGCTCTGACTAGCGTGGTGAAGTATGGTCAAACAACTCCCATGACCGACATAGCGTGGGAATGGCTTGCATCCAGCATCGAATATACAAAAGGGCTGGAATTTTTACCGATTAAAATCCCTTGATTATTTTCCTGCACCAAACACGTGGGATACTTTCAGATTGAAATGTGATCGTTTAGTTCGGTGGTTCTCAATCTTAGGTGCACGCCGGGGGTGCGAGATGCCCTTTCTGGGAACCAAAGCGGTGCAGGCTGCAGTCAAGGTTAAGAACCACTGGTTTAGTTTAATTCAGCACACAATGTATTAAAATCTGCACCATATTACATAAGTATTGGATTTTAATGTCTGTTATTCATGTTTCAAAGTCACGCTGATGATGTGACAATCAGCTGACTTGTCTTGGCATCACTGATGAGTGCTGGCACATTCCGTGATGGCTTTGCTTTGCTTGTCTTGCGATCGAAGCTCATGCACGTGACGTTTACCATTTTGTATTCTACTTTTGACATATCATTTGTGAAATGCTCAACTTCATATCAATAAATGTAAACAAATTCTTGGCTCTGGTATCATGATGTCTTTATATCCATTTCAATTTGGCATTTTCCCCCTGATTTAATATCCTCGTCGGCTCAGATGAGCAACACAAATTCACAATGACGAATGACGTCACAATTACAAATGACAATTCCAGTGACGTCATGTGGATACGACTGCTTGAGTCGCCGTGTAATTTCGGCGATGACTTCGTTACTAATTACCTGTGAGGTGTGTAATATATAGGTATCGATTACAAATTACACTTGTAATGACATTACACATTTAAGTTACATGTACCGTGAGGCCACGACACCACCACAAATGTTTTAAACTTTCAATTAGGTGTCTTTTAAATGCGTAACCTACTGCTCCCCATCTCTGCATCATACAGGAGCTAAAACAACAAGCGGCCTCTGAAAATGAATAATGGAGTGAATTAAGATATCATAAAGAACATTGTACCTTGTGGGCTGCTAAATATTTAATGGTAATTGATTGTACTTGGTATTAAAGCCATTCTTAATGTGAAAGGCTATCATCACGAAGACGCTATGATTCACAACACTCGGTGTGCAGTAGTTCCGCAGTCGTGGGCGATGTTGCTGTGTGTAACCTCAATTGAGCAATTTGCAGCGTCATTTCTCAGCATTGGATCGTGACGCCGGCACGCAGTGGCTTTTACTCTTCTTGACGAATGACCTCGCTGGTTCTTTACCATTCACTGTTCAGCAGACGGCGGCGCAGTATTATTTGACCGTTTAAAAGCACCACAGTGATAACCGGGGAGGCCTGCCAGGTTAGAAGCGCGAACCCAGGCGACATGCGGTGTCGAGATGTTGACTACCTCGCCTGGTGTACAGGAGGTCGTACAGGAGGTCGTGGGTTCGACCCTGACCCTGACGCCTGCTGTACATTTTGAGTTTGCATGTTCTCCCCGTGGTCACGAGGTGTTTTCTACAGGTCCTCCGGTATTTCTTTGCACATTTAGAATCGCGTCAATTTCCACGTGATAAGACGCTTCATTAGGCAGTCATTTGTGGCCAGGTCACTTCTGAAAAATTATCTTTTTAGCTCAGTGGGCCTTACCTGGTCAAATAAAACGAGTTTAGTTGCAAGTGTAGTTTACAAGCACCTTCCCAAACATTCCATGCTGCTAACAACATCACGTGATGAGCGGCCTGACGCCGCCGGCTGCGCAGGAGCCGGGAGCCGCCCTCTTTCAAAGCGGCGCTGGCGGAGACATCTGGGAATTATTAAGGAATTTGCACAACAACTTCAAAAAGCCTGGGCTTGCGAACGCACCGTCTACCTAGTAAAGGTTTGTGGGTTTTTTTCAACAAGAATTGTCTTTAAAAAACATGTAATGAAAAAATATGAATACAATGTTAGCAGCCAATTCAACACAACTGGAATAAATCTACCCAAGTCTGTGTGTAGGGCCACGAGTGTGCGTAGGCGAGTTTGTGAAAACAGGTCATCAATTCCCATCAGCCCTGCAATCGATCACCTGCCTGATCCACAGCCTTGTCAGTGAATCTCAATACTGTCAACGTACAACTCAAGACTGGATCAACTTTCTACCCCGGAATATATAACGCAGAGCCATAGAGAGAATGAGGCAGAGAATGAGGGTTGGATTGTCTTTGGCAACAATTGCCAGCAAGACAATTCCTCTTCACGTTCGCGACGTCGCCGAGATTTCTACGGCCACCTGTGGCTCAGTACAACCTCACCGCCTCCTCCCCTTTAGTCGTCAAGTATTCCTCACATTCTGTCGGACCTCCGCTGAGCACGGTCGGCTACGTACGGTGCGAAAGAGTTCAACATCCCCCCCCCCCCCACTTCGACAAAGGAAGAACAATCGAAACGCGTCGAGACGGGTGGATCCTGTCGCCGCGTGTTCTCACAAGTGGCGAAGCTTTGGCCACATTCTGATCAACGTGGCTGCGTTTTGTCCCGGCCCGAGGCCTGGTCCTTAACAGCAACACAACCTCACTCTCCAGTTTAGTTCTGACTGGGTCATCTTTACCATCATCATTATATTAAACTACACTAAAAGCTCAACTATTTGTATTTTACCAGGTAAGGCTCACTGAGCTATTTAGCTCTTTTTCAGAAGCGACCTGGGCACGAAGTGGCTTTTCATGTGGAAATGTATTGGAGCCAAATACTCTGAACGCGTGACGAGTCTAAATGTGCAGGGGAAACCGTAGGACCCGAAGAAAAATCCACATGACCACGGGGAGAAAGACACGCAAACTCCAAATATACAGGGTCGGGATCGAACCCACGGCCTCCTGCATACCTGGTGCGGGAGATAACATCTCCTAGCCACCCCATCACCTGCCACCACACGCCCATTGCAGACAGACTGATGGATGGACAGAGCTCACGTATGAGCAGACGGTACGAGCTGTGAGTTGCAGCAATGCGGTCGCGACTGAGAGCAGCGCTCAGTGGGTCGTTGAAATGGCCAGCGGAACGCAGCGTCCGAGACCCATAGACAAAAACCAGCCGACTGCCTCCGCATTGTTGAGTTGCGCGCTGCTGCGCTCTCAGGCGCGCGCCCGTGATCGTGTCCGCGCCGCAGGCTGCCGCTGTTGCTTCTCTCAAGCGGTGGCAGCCAACCGCGCCGTTATCCTTGCAAGTCGAGGATCCGTGTCGTCGGAGATAAAACTGCACAAGGTCCTTCACCCGACGCGAGTCGCTGCATTTGTGGCTCCGACCCTCCGGGCCCCCCTTCACCTCGTCGGATGAGTCGGAGAGGCAAAGAGAGAGCAAGAAAGAGAGGGGAGCATCTCTCCATTTAACGTTGTAAATCTGCACTCAAGCCCAACATTTGTCTGAGATTTAAATCATGTGGTCTAAGCTGATGTATTTTAATATGAAATGCCGTGAATAATAAGCATCATCACAATTCACAACGCGCAAACATTGAGTGAATCGGACGCAATGTTCGATCGAAAACTCGGAGGTGCGGGGCCAAAGATCAAGGTCCCTCGTACGCAAACCTCTACAGGTGAGAGCCTGAACAGACGAGAGCCTGGACAGGTGAGAGCCTGAGCCAGGTTCGATCCTGAACAGGTGATCGATAGCCTGAACGGGTGAGAGCATGGACAGGTGAGAGCCTGGACAACTTAGAATGGGAATCTTTATTTAGGCTGGAGGAATCCGATGAGCTATGAAGCTCTTTTTCACAGATGTCCACTATGGACGGGTCAGCGAGTTCCAAAAGTAGAGCCTCACCTGGTGAGAGCCTGAACCAGGTTAGATCCAAGTTAGGTGATAGCCTGAACCAGGTTAGATCCAGGTTAGGTGAGAGCCTGAACCAGGTTATATCCAGGTTAGGTGAGAGCCTGAACCAGGTTAGATCCAGGTTAGGTGAGAGCCTGAACCAGGTTAGATCCAGGTTAGGTGAGAGCCTGAACCAGGTTAGATCCAGGTTAAGTGAGAGCCTGAACCAGGTTAGATCCAGGTTAGGTGAGAGCCTGAACCAGGTTAGGTGAGAGCCTGAACCAGGTTAGATCCAGGTTAGGTGAGAGCCTGAACCAGGTTAGATCCAGGTTAGGTGAGAGCCTGAACCAGGTTAGATCCAGGTTAGGTGAGAGCCTGAACCAGGTTAGATCCAGGTTAGGTGAGAGCCTGAACCAGGTTAGATCCAGGTTAGGTGAGAGCCTGAACCAGGTTAGATCCAGGTTAGGTGAGAGCCTGAACCAGGTTAGATCCAGGTTAGGTGAGAGCCTGAACCAGGTTAGATCCAGGTTAGGTGAGAGCCTGAACCAGGTTAGATCCAGGTTAGGTGAGAGCCTGAACCAGGTTATATCCAGGTTAGGTGAGAGCCTGAACGAATGAGAGGCTGGACAGCCAGGACAGCCCTGGGTGCTGGGTACGATGAGCCAGTCATTCGATGAAGGGCCCTTGACAACAAAACATCGCCTATTAGAGACATTTTTCCATTTTAAGGCCACGGTGTTTTGACGATTGTGTGGAATAAGAAAAAAAATGTTTTGAGACTCATATTTAAATTCTGATTTGTTTATAATTGTTTGGCTTGTAAGCATTCTGATGATACATGTTGTGAATTGTGCCACTCCGTAGAAGTGAATAATAATAATAAATGACTTGACCGATTATCATGATTTTGGTGGTGCTCGCGATTGGGAGAATGCAGAAATGTAAGCCCCCCCCCGCCCCTTTCAATTTCTAACATCCTGGTGACACGATGGAGGCGTTGCAAGACAAGAGACAACACAAATGTAGTGAAATTAAAAGACAAAGTTAGAGATGTAGTGAGATGAGAGAACTGAGCCGTGGACACGATACAGATAAGAGAGATATTAATCGGCTTTTATGTAACTCAACTCGTTATGTTTACTATTATTTGAATTTGAGCTGACATCTGATGCTACCCCTATATATATGTGTTTCTTCATGAATCCGAAGCCCCCATCGAGCTACTAGAGATGCAAATCTTTGGCTTTGTTTGCTGAAGCCGAGCGCCGTCACCGTGCAGCCTGCGAGGGAGACAGCCGAGCTTTATCAGCGCCCGTCTGAATAATAATAATCAATCGTCCGCCTAACAGGGCCATGAAATGTAATTCCAATTGTCTGTGTTTTGTCTGGCGCTTCATCTGTTTCGTTTCGGATACGGAACTTGAAAAACCCCTCATCCAATGTTCCATGCCAAACGGAATGTGGAGCCGACATTAATTATCCTGAACTGTTTTTCTAAACGCGAGGCGCACAAAACAGTTCTGTATTCTGACAAATCTGAACACGTGTGTTTATTTTGCTATAACAATACGATCACTAAATCGGCGGCATATGGAGTAGTATCCATCGGGACGTCTCGCACACCGGCGCAAGGGTCCACTGAAGCCGATGTCAGAGAGCTACCTCTGAGATCCCTTCAAGCGACCGATGAGGGAAGCACGTGTTCTCCCTGCCCTGCCGTATGGCAGCGATGTTCATCACACCACAGTCAACCCGATATTTTGAGTTTTCATTGCTGGAATGTAGA